AAGACAGACAGACCCTTAGCCCAGTTAACCAAAAGAAAGAGCAAATCCAAAACAACAAAATCAGAGATGAAAGGGGAAGCATAACAACAGACACTAGAAGGATACAGAACATTATAAGGGAATATTTTAAAAACCTGTGTGGTACTAAATTTGAAAACCTAAAGGAAATGGATGGATATCTAAAGGCATGGGAACCACCAAAACTAAACCAAGAAGAGATTAACAGCTTAAATGGGCCCATAACACAAAAAAGAAATTGAAACAGTAATACAGAACCTCCCAACTAAAAAAAGCCCAGGACCAGACGGATTTACAGCAGAAGTCTATCAGACATTTAAAGAAGATCTGCATCCAATATTTGATGGATTTACAGCGGAATTCTACCAGACATTTAAAGAAGATCTATATCCAGTACTACTTAAGTTATTCAAAAAGAGAGAAATGGAGGGAGAACTTCGAAATTCCTTCTATGAAGCCAGCATCACTCTAATAAGTCAGTGTGTATCCAGACATAACTACAGGAACCAGGATAATGGAAAGGAAACAGGGAGGTAAAGGAAAAGAAAGAACCTGAAAGAGAAGAACAGTAGGAAACAGGCGTTAATAAGGGAGATATGGATAAAAATTGGGTTAGTTTAAAGGAGCGGGGAGGGAAGGGTATACAGGGAACCTAGGGGATAAAGGGAAGGAAGGTGCTCAAGAGAGGTAGGACCATAGGAGAAGGGTATTAGTAAGGGAGAAAGGGGGGAAATGGGGGCACCTTAACTGGGGAAACCATGATGGAGGGGTTAGACAATGCGAGAGATAAATAATGCCTAGTTTCAAAAACCAGAGGGAATCATATTACTCCAACAACCTACTGACAAATTATACATAGCAGATCAAGAAATAGATGTCTATGTGAGGTTTATCTGAGAACAATTGGTCTTTGCCCATGATTTTTCTACATGGTACACATTAACTTAAAGTACCAGACTGGCAGAGCTAACCTTCTTGGCTGTTTAACAGCCATTCTTTGAGGCCTATACTAATAGGGACATAAAGGACAGTTTTTGCTCCTTGTCCTCCTAAGTCGATGGGAGGGGGAGTTCCAGGGGACTATGAACATCTCTCAAAATGTCCTGTAATTGTGGTGGGTCACCTGTCCTCTTGATCAGGGAGGCCGAGGAGACCCCACGAGATGGACTTGAACCAGTGTCCAGTCTACAAAGAGGAGGGTCAACACAGAGGAAACATTTGCTCCATGCTTCCAAGCGAAGCCAGCCATGGTCTAGCAGGACCTTTGACTTATCTTCACATAGGCAGAACTGGTAAACGAAAGGAGCCAGGGGCTCCTCCCAAGCCCATGTGACCTCTGAGGAACAGATCCTCA